GCAGATTGCTTCCATTATTGTATCACTGATACTTGTTCACAATTTTAAAAACACATAATTTAAGTTCCTCATATCTCATTGTTCTTTTATCTTAAGTGAAAAATGAAAGCAATAATTTTCAGTATAGGTTAATGAAACATAAGTGAGGTGGGGCTAAATTTCTGATTAGCCAGAGTCAGCCTGAGTTCATGGTGGGATGGTGGGATGGCAAAAACCATACAGGTAAACAGACAACTGGTCTGTAGTAGCATATTAAGGCCAATCTTCTGAAGACACTATTGTATCTGGGTGGTTTGACTTACTGATTTCTCATTTAGTCTACAAATCTCTACATGCACTAAGGCTCCTGCCTGCCTACTCCCATGAACATGTTCTGACAGAGCACCAACGATGTCAATGACAACTACCATTGCAATTACACTGTTATTACTGGCTCTTTTTCCTCTAACCACTTCCTTTAATACCAACATGCCTGGGGATTTACTGTGTCCACCACTATTCTCCCTCTATAGAATTCTCAAGGTTCTAACTACTACCCAAATACAAAAGATTTCAGATATCTCCCCAAAGCTTTAGGCTCCATATCCAACTTCTACACAGATAACCCATAAACTCACCTTAAACTCAATATGCTGAAAACAAAACACAACATTTTGGTGGTTCCCCACTGCCTATAAAATCCAAGCCCCCTCCTTGATCTGGCTTCACCTTATTACTTCTTCCTCTGCCTCTTCCTCACCTTATTAGAGCCTCATCCTCTGCCATCCATATTCATTTTTTCTGAATGCCTAATAAAATTAACCATCTAATATTTATTGAAGGTCCATTACATGCCCAGCACTATTCTAAGCACTTTATATGATTCACTCATCAATCTTCACAGCAATCCCATGAGGTAGATGCTACTACTTTTACACCTCCATTTACACTGAGGAAAGTATCCTGCCTAAGCTACAAAGTAGTGGAGTCAGCATACAAACCTATATCCTGTGCTCCTTACCTTTATATATGTAATTTCTCATAAATGCCTACACATGCCAAGCACTGTCCTGGATATTCAAGGTGAATGGGACAAACAAGGCCCATGACCTCATGGGGCTTATAGTCTAGTAAGTAAACAGAAAAACAAACAAACAAAAAACCTTATTATAAATCATTTACAAGTTCCAGGAAGAAAATAAATAGGATTTTATGACAGAAAATTCACAGAGGTGGATATACTTAACAGTGATAAAAGAAAAGCCTCTTTGAAAAAATGACTTTTAAGGAGTGACCTCATGGATAAGAAGGTGCCAACTATACAAATAGGAGGGATATATCCAGAAGAGTAGAGTACTGAGTCAATAGACAGCATAAAGATGGTGTTACAGATTGAACTGTGTTCCCCCAAAATGCTTATATTGAAGCGCTGACCCCCAATGTAACTGTATTTGGAGTTAGGGTCTTCAAGGGCGTAATTAAGGTTAATAAGGTGGGACTCCAATTGGATAAGACTGGTGTCCTTATAAGAAGAGGCGAGATCAATCAACCGATAGATCAATTGATCAATCCCCCCCTCTCTCTCTCCCCCTCTCTCCACATACACACAGAGGAAAGGCCAGGTGAGAAAGTACCCATCTTCAAGCCAGGGAGAGAGGCTCACCAGAAACCAACCCTGATGGCACCATGATATTGAATTCCAGCCTCCAGAACTGTGAGAAAATAAATTTCTTTTTTTTTTTTTTTAAAGATTTTATTTATTTATTTGAGACAGAGAGAATGAGAGAGAGAGAGCACATGAGAGGGGGGAGGGTCAGAGGGAGAAGCAGGCTCCCTGCCGAGCAGGGAGCCCGATGCGGGACTCGATCCCGGGACTCCAGGATCATGACCTGAGCCGAAGGCAGTCGCTTAACCAACTGAGCCACCCAGGCGCCCGAGAAAATAAATTTCTGTTGCTTACGCTATCCAGTCTGTGATATTTTGTTATGGCAACCAAGCAAACAAATACAAATCAGACTTAGTTGTTTTTCAGGAACTGACAAAAACCAGTGTGCTAGAATATAGAGACAATGGAGATAATAATATGTCAAAAACTCTTAAGCCCATAGATGGCAGATGAACCTGAAATAAGATGATCACAAAAATAGTACCTGTGCAAAAGTTTTAAGCTGGTTCATACTGGATTTGAAAATGTATGCTGTGGGTTTTTGTTCTCTCAGTGACTGGGAGTCACTAAAATAGTGACTAAAATACAGTAATTTATATTCCACCGTGGAATGCACAAAATGGCCCCATAGAACAAAGAACTGAACCCTTCCCAAAATGTTAATAGTGCCCTATTGAAGAAAAATGGCTAATGGGTATGTCTTGTTTACATAGAGGACTATGGAAAAAACAAGGATGGGGTTGTTGTTGTTGCTGTTTAGTTCTTACATCACTAAGGATAGCTCTGAGGGAATTATGGTGAAATAATAAATATGTGTGGTGCTCATGTGTAAGGAATGGTGTCGGATATTTTGGAGCATGTCCAAATGAACCAGATACCAATCCTAGGCCTAAGAGCCACAGTAAGGTAGATATGATGCCCCATTTCATCAAATCTAAGGTACCAGTCATTATGTGTCACATTTTATGCACAACTAAGCAAGTTAATTACGACATTAACTGTAAAAATACATCCTAATTTCAGGGCTGTTTAAATGTAGAGAAAAAAAGTGAAAAAATATACATCTTAAACAAATGAAAAAGAATATGAAAATAGCTAAATGCAAATAGAAGTCATATAAAAGAGTCTATAGAAGGCATGTATTGTTTCATGCAGAAGGTAGTATTTAAGCCAAATCTTGAAGAATAGGTAGAAGTAGGAAGAGCAGAGCTTGATGAAGGAATATTTTTAGCAAGAGTAAATTGCAAGAGGTAAAGCATAGCAACAATAAAGTGAGGTATGGCAAGAGAAAACTATTTAAAGAGAAAACACTATTGAAAAGTTAGAAGGACAAGGGCTAGGAAAACCTTGAATACAGCTAGGCTAAAGAGGCTGAAATTTATTGTATATCCTTGGGGAATGGTTCTCAAACACTTCGTTTTTTTACCCCAATACACTTTGGAGCTATATAGTACACATAAAAAAATGGGGCCACTCTAGCAATGATCCTCAACTATAAGAGAGGCAAGATGAGCAAAAGCAATTAATTCTTCTGAGAATAAATATAGAAAAAGCTGTCCAGAAAATCCTAACTTCTACCCTTACCTCACCTTGATAATCACTGCTTTCTACACACTAAAAAAAACCCAGAATAATTTGAGTACCTTTTCAGGAAAGGTAATCCAGGAGAACTGTGTAAAAATGAATGAGTATTAGAATAAAGATTAAGGATTGAGAATCTACATAAGAAGCTGATCTTCCAGGAAGAAGTGAAATAAATTCCTATTATTAGATTAGTGATAATGGGGAAAATGTATGATGCAACTATTACAAGAAACAGGAAAAATAAAGGAAAGAAAAAGTTTAAAATACAACGTAATAAGCTCAAACAAGGACAAGTGCATTCCAAAATATTGGTGATCATTCAGGTGATGTCTAAAAGCATCCAAGATTAAGAAAAGTGGAATTTAGGTCTGGAAAAAGCTGTGAACATCATCTAAAAAGAGTTATTGAAGCATAATATAGATAAAGCCACCAAAAAGAAGGCAAGAGAAGGTACTGCAAAGACAAATTTTTTGAAGTAAACACGTATTAAAGCATTTAGTAGCTTTACTATAAATGTCTTCATATTTTATAATAATCTCATGCTGATCATCATCATTGCTAATTTTAATACTATAAGTTTACAAACAAAAAAGCAAAGCATAGTGAAGATTAAGAACATGCTTAGGATCATACAAAGCAACTTAAAAAGGGAGCATTTCATTAATTTCCAATCCGGTATTATAGTCATTTAGAGATGCCGTGTGTGTGTGTGTGTGTGTGTAAACTTAGTCAAAAAGCAAAAGTCCAGACCCCTGAAAACAGAACTTGAGAACAACCAAGACGGTATAATATAATTATAGGGGGAATTAATGTTTAAATTCCTAAGTGGCTTTATTCCAAACACTCAGTTATCCACTTCAATCTATGAAAAACTGCAAGTATATCATAGTATTGAATTGTTTTCTCCTTAAAAAAAAAAAAAAAAAAAAAAAAACACCTTTTGGAGATAGTGAAAATATTTAAGAACAATATTTTTAAATCAGATTATTTTTTCAAGTATTTTTTCAAGTATTGTTAAAGGATAAAGGCAGTATGATCTTTGTATGTGAAAAAATATGGTTTCAAGTCACACATGGATAAGAAAGAAGAAAATCTATAATTTTCTGGTGTTAAGACTTAAATTTGTTACAAATTTACCAAACGACTTTAATTAAACTCTATTCATTTTGACTGAAATACCTTTTGACAAACTTCCTCCGAAAGTGGGAACATGAGGCTTGGAGGGAAAGAAAAGAAATGGAGAGAGAATAAGGGAAACCAAGAGAACAAAAAAAAAAAAAAAGAGAGAGAGAGAGAGATGAAGGAGAGGAAAGGTGACCCAGGTGAAGAACTACTAACAGAATGAAGATGGTAGAAATCATCATACTGCCCCAGAACAGATTTATTGAGCAAAGAGAACGATGGGTTTTTTGCTGGAGGTTGGGCATGATAAAGAGTCTTGAAAATCCTACAGGTTCATCTACTAGTACTATCATGCAGGTATTTTTCTCAAAACACTTGCATAAGTCAGAAGAATCTAATAAGGAAGATGCAACCAGCCCACAGTCTGCAATCTGTCTAAATGATTAGACAAACTGAGATGGCCGATATTGAAGTGCCTATTAATAGCTTATTGATACATGTTCTTGAGCTACTTCATGACTACTTTCACATAAGCAAATTCCCTTAAAGGAAAAAAAAGTCCAAGTAATTTTCTAAAACTACACGCCATACAACAACACTATGGTTAAACTTACACATGGCAAGAAAAGTTTTGAAAAATGTGAAATACCTCAGTCTGACCTTCATGGGCACTGGTCTCATGAGTGACTCGAATAGCCTGTAATAAGAACACAAGATATTAATTGGAAAAAATGACTATATCCAAAATTTTAAAAGAAAACAACAATGCTAAATTTTAACATCTAAAGCTTTGTTAAGAGATAACAAATTGGAAGAAATTTAGGAACAGTTTAATATTAAAGAATGATTTCTGGATAACCAAATGAATTGTTCTACTTTCCAACCCACAAATCCCTGAAGACTTAGGAAAGTGACTATCTGATTATTTGTAATTTCCAGACGTGAAGTGGGAGCCATTTAAATTATTTGTTAGAACTAACGTTTTAACACTTTATTCAGCTGGGACTAGAATAAAGTAAGCATCTCACAGACAGAGACTGGAAAACTTATCTCATCTGCTTCTCCAGGTTACATGCTCCTCTGCAGCTCTGGCTGTAGTTATGCTTAATCATGCAGCTTCAGTCAGCAGTTTAAAAATCGGGAGCAGAAAGCATGCATTTATTAGAAGCTAGAGATTTTAGTTTTCTGAACTTAAAAAAAAAATGCTCTTATAATACCCACTATTAGGAAAGATGAAGAAAATGGGCAAAAGTAGTAAATTTCGGGTGAAAGTACCTTTATGAATGGCAATTTGGCAGTAAGTATCAAAGCCTTAAAAACATGCAAACTATTTGATCCAGCAATTTCTGTTCTAGGAGTTTATTTACATGTAATTGTACATAAGTATATATAATTAAGGATATCTGTAAAGATTTAGCTACAATAATATACCTTGTAGTATTTTTTTAAATAGTGAATAAAGAGGAAAAATATTAAATTTCCAACAATAATTTATTGGTGAAATAAAATACTGCACAATGGAAAGCTATGCAGCCATTAAATGATGATGTCAAATATATACTTACTGGTATGTAATACATTTGTGATAAGTTAAGTGAAAAAAGCTTAAAACAATATTACAGTGTGATCAAATTTTTGTTTTAAAAAATTGTGTATATATATGTATACTCCCTATAAAAAATATGAATAATCGTGGCTATCTCTCATTGGTGGGATCACTGGTGACTTTTGTATTGTTTATTTTACTTTTGTGTAAAATAAAGATATCTTATGAGATCTGCTGGGTTTTTTTTTAAGAAAAAACAATTTAAGATAATCAAAGTGTATAAGAATGCTAAAACAACATAATAAAATCAATTAATTTATTGGGCACAAACTCTGTGTAAGGCATTTTTCTAGCCAAATAATCTGTACACTACACCGCTTCTAATTTCAGAACTTACCATCTACTTAATAGTGTTACCAAAAGGTAAAAAGAACTTCAAAAGAAAAATAGATTTCAAAACCAATGAAATTTAAATGCCACTCTAAAACCATTCTATGAAATGGTACAATCGTTTAAAAGTAGATTATGTAGCCTGTGTCTTCACACATGCAAAAACATTACTAAGAGGATGAAAGAGCTAAAGTATGGTCTGGCATCTACCATTAAACCTTTGCTTTTTCCATTGGTATTCAGCCTTGTTCCAAATTCCCAGTGAAAGACACATAGGGTATTGGCAGGCATATATTTATTTATAGGGAGGGAATGGTAAGCAATAGTCAATCATAAAATATTTTTAATATTTGTCAAACTTTTTTTCTCTCATTCAGCTCTGGATGTAGAAAAGAAGTGGCAATTGATCAACATTTATGGATATTTCAGGTAATGATACAACAAAATCCACAAGTGCTCAAAACTAGTTTCAAGATAAACCCGCAAACAGAATCTACAATCCCACAAAACTGCCCATAACTGAGATCGAGACAAAAAGAAGGTACCGACATCATAGTTCTCTAGGTATCTGGCCCGTTCTTCAGGACTCATTGACACAGACTCCTCGAGGAATTTTTTCAAGGTTGATCCAGATTCTGAGAATATTAAAGAAGATAAAATTGAGAAGGTTTGCTATCTCACTGATATATGAAAATACTATTAGCATGCTAACTTTTTCGGGTAAAAACCTTTTCACTGGTAAGCTGGGAATGTAAGAAAATTGGGATAAATGATAGGCTTTAAGTTGTTTGTTAAACCTCTGTTTATCAATCATAAAAGAATGGGAAAGATGAATACTTCTTCAACACAATATACATTGCCATTATAAAAGGAGAGAGGAAAAGGTTTCCTTTACTACTTTAAAAGAAAGAACTACAGCACCACCTACTGCTCAATAAGTTAACTTTTAACTTAGAGGGGTGAGGGGGCCAAGCAGTAACACAAAATTATTTACCAAAGTGCATCTTGTCTTTATTGTTGGCAATAGCATGGATCAGTCCAATTGTTCCACAGGCATTGCTGATTGTTTGCTTCATGAAATATACTGATGATGTAACATCTTGTCCCTGAGATTTTATTTTTTCCTCCTCCTCTGTTCTGAATACTTCATACTATTAAAAAAAAGGTCCAAAAAAAAAAAAATAAGTCAATAGTCTTATGAAAATAATACATTAAAAAGTACTCAAACATAAAACTGGGAAACTTCTAATTATCCATCAATAGGGATTTGGTTAACATACTATGGCATATCTTAGTGGAATACTATAAAGCACATAAAAAAGAATGAAATAGATTTACATATTCCAACTCGGAAATTTGTCTGTGATTATGGGGTGATTCTAGGTCAATAGACATTAAAATGATTCTCATTTATGTTTTCAAAATATCTACTTTATAGGGGCGCCTGGGTGGCTCAATCGGTTAAGGCTCTGCCTCTTGATTTTGACTCAACTCATGGTCTCAAGGTTCATGAGAGGGAACCCTGTGTCAAGCTCTGCGCTGGGCATGAAGCCTGGTTAGACTCTCTCTCTCCCTCTGCCCCTCCCCATCCACTTGTGTGCACATGAGCGCTCTTTCATTCTCTCACTCTCACTCTCTGAAAACAAAAACAAAAACGGTTAAGGGGCACCTGGGTGGCTCAGCTGATTAAGCATCTGCCCTCAGCTGAGGTCATGATCTTGGGGTCCTGGGATAGAGCCCTGCGTCAGGCTCTCTGCTCATTGGGGAGTCTGTTTCTCTCTCCTTCTGCCCCTCCCCTCTGCTCATGCTTTTTCACTCTTTCTCTCAAATACATAAAATCTTAAAAAGAAAAAACATAGAAGCCTGAAACACTTTGTATTCCTAAAATACCCACTAGATATCCTTTGAGTGACTTTAATATGTCACTTATGAACAGAATAAGAATACACCAAATTGTAAGAGAGATCCAAAAGTGGCAGAAGCCATTATATTCTCCACTTTAGTATTTTAGAAAATTGTGTTCTTTCTAGCAATAGGCACAATGAGCTTTTCAGTACTGGTGATCCACTAAATGAAGAGTCCAATTGATAAGGACAACATGCTTTTTTTAAATAATGATGACCCACTAAATGAAGGAGATCAAATCCAATTTATTCTTTAACTTAAGAAAGTGAATAAAAAAATAAAAATAAACTTTAAAAAAAAGACAGGTCATAAAACTCAATGTTTTGGGAAATTTCCAATTCAGACCATAAACTCATATCTGTATCACACCAACTAAGAAATCCTAAGTGTTAAGCAGCTGTTTTTTTTTCTTTTTATTATTCCTTACAATTGGAGTCCTGGGATAGCTATCTATTGGCTTACTTTAGTAATCCAAAAAAAAGGAAAAGAAAAGAAAAGAACACTGGACTAAGAGAGAGTAAACTTAAGTGTCCTAACTCCTTCTCAAATTTCAGAATAATTACAACCTCACCATTAAAAGTAGTTTAGTCTAAAAACGGATAATCATCAAGAAATTTCTAACTCTGAATTTCTATATTATAAACAGCAAATATGAATAAATATCCCTTCCTTAATTTTTTGTAGCACCTTAAGTAGAAAAGAGAAATATTTCAGTATTTTTTTATTTATATTGAATTGAGGCTAATTATGGCATAAAGAAAATTATCCAGGAATTTCTAGGACTGAACGAAGCCTAATTCTTATTTTCTGTGAGACTTGGCCCCATTTATTCCTGAAAAATAAAATGACCTGAGCATGTATACACCAAGTCATCAGTACTTCACTTCTCCCACATCTTTCCATTTACTTCCTCATTTTTCACAACTACTGACTTCATCCTGTTGTTTCTAAGTTTAAAAATAAAAATCAGAAGGATATGAACTCAAAAGCTGTTTTAAAAATTAACATAATAAAAAAAATTACTAGCAAAAAAAAAAGAAGTATATGGAGAAAGAAAAAAAAAAGAACTTAAAAGTTCTGGCTCCATAATATATATATCTAGACAAGGCCTGAAATACGGAGATTTGAAATTAAATACAGAACTCTAAGAACAGCTAATTATAATCCCCAACACATCCTAAATCTACCAATAAAGCTGTATTTAAACTTAATGATTTCCACACATACTGAGTTTATTCTGAAAAGACTTCTTTTTATATATATATTGGAAATAATTACATATTTTATATACTGAAATTGTGAATATTCTTTATTTCTACCTTCTCTAAGACAGATTTAAGATTATTCTAGTACTTAACATTTCTAAAGCATATACAACGAAATGTGATTAAATGTGATTTCGAAACACGCTGAGGCAAAAAATCATATTTTATAAAAGAAGAAAATTAGCCAAGTTTAAAAGTCTAACTCAGGGCTTTACTGTCAATCTATACATTAAAATCTAAATATCAGCTCTTTTTTTTTTTTAAGTTGAGGAGATACAATTTTTTTTTTTTTAAGATTTTTATTTATTTTTTGACAGAGAGAGACACAGCGAGAGAGGCAACACAAGCTGGGGGAGTGGGAGAGGGAGAAGCAGGCTTCCCACAGAGCAGGGAGCCTGATGTGGGGCTCGATCCCAGGACTCTGGGATCATGACCTGAGCCGAAGGCAGACGCTTAACGACTGAGCCACCCAGGCGCCCTAAATATCATCTCTTTAATAAAACTAGGGTTTTGGGGTTTTTTTAAGATTTATTTATTTATTTATTTGACAGAGAGAGACACAGCGAGAGAGGGAGCACAAGCAGGGGGAGTGGGAGAGGGAGAAGCAGGCTCCCCGCTGAGCAGGGAGCCCAATGTGGGGCTCGATCCCAGGACCCTGGGATCATGACCTGAGCTGAAGGCAGACGCCTAACTGACTGAGCCACCCAGGCACCCCAAAACTAGGTTTTTTTTTAAGATGTCTTTTAGATTTCCTCATTTCATGCAAGAAGGAGGTCATCTGTTCTTAAAGAAGAGTATGTTTTTAATTCAACATTGAAAGAAAACATTACATTTACCAGAAACTTTGTTATCTTAGTTAACAATTACCTTTTCTGTAATGGGGAAGAGAAGTAACACTGCACAAACTGGTCTTGGTACCATGCTAAGGAGTTCAGGATCCATTCCATATACATCAACAAACTGCCAGTTAGGATGTAGACCTAATTGTTTGAGAAACTGGTAAAAAGTTGAAAACAAACAAAAACTGTAGTGTTAACAGGGAAATAATGAACATGTATTACTACAAATCTAATAAATAAGAGGGAATGAAAGGTACAATTATTACTGATGTTTAGTAAGAATGAAGTAAAGCAGGTTTTCCATGAACAGGGTGGGAAGAGACAGCAATATATTATACCAATTAAAAAACATTAAAATTTTATAATATATTAAGCAAAATCCCTTTTTTAAAAATCCATTACTTTGGGATTGAACATAATAAACCAGGACTTCACCAAACACATACAAGTTAGTTTGGTTGGTATGTTAAACTCATTTCCAGTACATGATTTTTAAGAAGATGTATTTAGGTCCGAGCAAATAATTATATTAGATGATCAACACAGTTTATCCTGCTTACCAAAGATGAGACTTGAGGTTTAAAGATAGATATACATCACAAATTACATCAATGAGCAAAAAGTACATAAAGCCAAAGAAGTCCAGTGATAATATGAACACCAGAAAATGCTTGATATGAGAAGTAAACTATGGGCTTCCTGAGCTCTAGTACACAGTGAAACCTATTCAACTTCACTGTCTTTCATACTTGGCAAAACAACTGTAATAAAAGATTAGTGTTTTTTTATTTTTTAAATATTTTATTTATTTATTTGACAGAGAGAGAGACAGCAAGAGAGGGAACACAAGCAGGGGGAGTGGGAGAGGCAGAAGCAGGCTTCCCGCCGAGCAGGAAGCCTGATGCGGGGCTCGATCCCAGGACTCTGGGATCACGACCTGAGCCGAAGGCAGACGCTTAACGACTGAGCCACCCAGGCGCCCCAAGATTAGTGGTTTTTTAAACTCCTAAGATTTCATAGGAAAATAAAATGTCAGACCCTAATCTATTGCAGAGAGAAAAAATGAGAATGATGTCAATTTCACAATGAAGTCTTAATAAATGTGTTGAATGAAGCTGTTAATTTATAAAAATACACCACCACAAAATAAGGTTTAGATGAAAGAAAAAAAGGAGCAGAGGGGGAAAAAATCATATTAAAAATGCATCATGGGGCAGCTGGGTGGCTCAGTCAGTTAAACATCCGACTCTTGATTTCAACTTGGGTCATGATCTCAGGGTTGTGAGATCGAAGCCCATGTTGGGCTCCCCGCTGGGCGCGGAAACTGTTTAAGGTTCTCTTTCTCCTTCTCCCTCTGCCCCTCCCCCTCTAAAAAATGCATCATTGTATCTTAGTTCAAGAATATAAGTTATTGGGGTGCCTGAGTGGCTCAGTTCAGTTAAGCCTCCAATTCTTGATTTCAGCTCAGGTCATGATCTCAGGGTTGTGAGGTAGAGCCCCATGTTGGGCTCTGAGCTGAGCACAGAGCCTGCTTAGGAGTCTCTCTCTCCCTTGCCCTCTGCCCCTTCCTCCCCTCTCTTTCATGTGCTCTCTTTCTCTTAAAAAAAAAAAAAAGAAAGAAAGAAAGAAAAAAGAATATAAGTTATCTATTGATCTAATATTATCTAAAATTTGAAAATAAGACAGTGCCTTGGGTACTTCTCCCTGAAGAATGATTGCATGTACTTGGACCATCAGTTGAGATCTTGCAAAACCAAGAGAAAATGCCATGTTACATAAACAGTGCCATTCGTCTCATAGTCACGTTCTATAAGAAAAGACTTTCCTAATTAAACAGAGAAACTCCTTCTCTGCCTGGTGAAGAAACTCTAATGATAATATGGTTGGTCAAAAATAAGGTCCTAGATATGTTTAATAAGAAATATATTAAATTAAGGGCGCCTGGGTGGCTCAGTTGGTTAAGCGACTGCCTTCGGCTCAGGTCATGATCCTGGAGTCCCAGGATCAAGTCCCGCATCGGGCTCCCTGCTCAGCAGGGAGACTGCTTCTTCCTCTGACCCTCCTCCCCCTCATGCTCTCTGTCTCTCATTCTCTCTCTCAAATAAATAAATAAAATCTTTAAAAATATATATATATATTAAATTAAAAAACTTCTCTCGGCAGAATGTGCTCAACACCTATTAAGTTTATCAAGTCACATGCTCTCCAACAGTCTGGGGCCACAGAAATCAATGGGCTCCTCTGTATTATACCTATTCTTCATCTGATTCCCACTCACTCCAAACTACTCTCTCCATTCTCCACTTTCTCCAAAATTCTTAGTCAATGCCCTTCTCAATATTCAGGTTTTTTTAAAGCACTAAACCAATTTATTTAGTTTTATCTAGAAACCAAAAAGAATTAAAATTGACAAAATCAAGGGAAGGAACTGTGTCTTATTCATTTGTTTAATCCCATCCCCTAGCACTGTACCTGGCTAAACCAAAGACACTCAAGTTATACTTGTTGAACTGAAGATTATATCCCTATTTTAACAAATAATCTTGCCATCTGTATGTCTATGTATGTCCATTAAGCTATGGACACGTATTTAAAATGTATTCATTTTTATTTGTGAAAGATGTATTTGCCTAATCTAAACCAGGCATTCATTTAATCAACTCAGAATACTACCTGCTCAGTCTACAACCATACCACCCTGAACGCACCCGGCTCTTGTCTGATCTCAGAAGCTAAGCAGCGCTGGGCCTGGTTAGTACTTGAATAGAAGAATACTACCTGCCCAGGATTGAGAGCTCTAAAAGTAAAAGTATCATGAACCCTGAAAAGAGGATTTAAATTTGTTAATTTTATATACCCCCAAAAGTCATACAGTCATAAAATTATAAAACAAGATGGTACACATAAGAGAGTAATTTCACATCTGTGCCGCAAACAGCAAGTAACAGTTAAACATTTTAGTGACACTCTGGACAAAACTGGCCAATTACTGTGAAGTAGAGGGCCTTTGTTGTCAACTGACTCCATGGCAGCCAAAGTTATTAAGTACAAAAAGTACCAAGATCCAAGGCAGCAACTGTAGTGAGACTGGTAAGTAACAAACTGAGGAATGAATGACTAAATTAACACAAAAATGGCTAAATTTTAACTGGACTCACACTTTTTAACTTTTTACTCATATTGCTAATCAAATGAGATTGATATAAAAAATTCAATCAATATCTATCAAGTACATTAGTTGCATCCTCTGACCAGATTTCTGTAAGATTCACACAGGAAGTTATCATATGAATAAAAAGAACAAAAGCAGCTATTAATAATAACTACCTCTGGGAAGTGGAGAAAAGTGGAGAAAGGGTGAGGAAGAAGGTTTTCAACTTTTACATCTCACTTTTTTTTTTAAATCATGAAGCTGTCTTACGTTGATCATGAAAACAAAAACAAAACCTGTGTTTAAAATTATCCTATGCAAACAGAGAAAGATTGGATGGAAATTTTCTAAAATATTGACTGCAGTTAGCTTGGGTGGTGTGAACTCAACTTTTTTATTTTCCAGTTTTAAAAAAATGTGTTATTTTTACAATAGGTATATATAGTTTGTAAGTTACAAAAAAAAAACTATAGAACTGACACACATATGTATTTTGGCTAAATTTACAAAACTGGAGGAAAACTCAAAATAACAATCTTAAAACTATTCCAAAAAAATCTCTCCAGACTACCCACAGAGTATTCTATATATGCATTTGCAAAGCCATCTCTACACAGTTAGAAGCATCCAGTTTGCATCAAGCAGGATAACAGACTTAAAACCTCTAATACCAGTCTCTTGGCTTTTCTAAACATTGGATAACAAAATAACAAAATTCTGATTGATTAGCTCACTAAATTTTCACAATGCCACTAAAATTTTGTCCAGTCAAGAAAAATGAGTAAATTAGAGTATGTGCCTTTAGGGGCGCCTGGGTGGCTCAGTAGGTTGTGTCTGACTTTAGCTCGGGTCATGATCTCAGGGTCCTGGGATGGAGCCCTGTGTTGGGCTCCCTGCTAACAAGGAGTATGCTTGTCTCTCTCATGCTGCCCCTCCCCCTGCTCATGTGTGCTCTCTCTCTCAAATAAATAAAATCTTAAAAAAAAAAAAAAAAAGAATATGTGCCCATAAAAGATCCTTAGGCCACTTATCTTTTTTATTCTATGGTCCAATGACAAAATTTTCCACCAAATAAATTTAAAATTATTTGTAAGTATTTTTAAAAAGTATGATGTATCAGAAACCATGCTAAAAGGTTTAATGTACTTCACCTTTATTGCAACTGGCAAGGTAGGTTTTATTTTTTATTTTTTAATTTTTTTTTTTTAAGATTTATTTATTTGTTTGAGAGAGCGAGAATGAGAGAGAGTACATGAGAGGGGGGAGGGCCAGAGGGAGAAGCAGGCTCCTCGCTGAGCAGGGAGCCCGATGCGGGACTCGATCCCGGACTCCAGGATCATGACCTGAGCCAAAGGCAGTCGCCTAAGCAACTGAGCCACCCAGGCGCCCAAGGTAGGTTTTAATATAGCCTTTTACCAGTGAGAAAACGGAGTCTGAGAGTTTACATGATTCTTTAAGCTCACACTGCCAAAACCCACATGCAGAGCTCCAGGATGCTCTCATCCCCCTATTTACTTTCCTAGCCTCATTTTTTCATTGTCTGAAGTCTCTTTTTTTGTACCTTGTTCTCTAACTTTAGCTACAAAGAACTCTTTGCATTCTCAAACGGTCTTATAACCACCTATTCCCTCCGGGTTTTGCACAAAAACTAGATTTCTCTACCTGAAAAACTGTTACCCTCTGCCCCTAATTTATAATGAATTCCTCCTCCTTCTTTAGGTGACAGTCAAATAACAAAGACTCTGATTTTATAAATTGAAGAAAATAGAAAAATAAAATTCACTTTCCTTTCAAATTTGTTCTAAAGCCACTTTCTCCGGTCTTTAATGGCCTGCTCAGGGCAGCAATAAACTCCTCCTTATTACTTATTTGTTAATGATTTAGGTTTTAACAGAAATTACATTTATTTAGTACTTGCTTGATATTACTACTAATAAACCTATACTACTAGTAATTGCTAGATACAGAAATAGGAGAATAGTAGTTAAATGAGAATAATTTTTTCTATCACTTAACTGGTTTTATTCCAGGTAAGTCCTACCTGCACCATGACAAAGTATCCTTAGAAGGGATTGACAGCATATTAATCAGTAAGAAAAATCATTGCTTATCACATCTACAGAGACACATGGTTACTACTTAATATCTGACAGTTAATAATGATCTCCATATAGTAAATATGGATTGATCATTCTTCTACAAATTAGGCATCATTAGAACATAAAACAGTATTTGCTCAAACTAAGAGTACAATAATAACATATGCAACTATCAAACTGTAACAAGTAAAAGGCCTAAGATTCCATTAAGATAGGGAAATAGTGTGGGGATAGATACTGTTGGGGTTTATCTGGTTTAATTTACTAATTCTCCAAATTTTAAGTCAGTTATTAAATTTCTATTCATTTTCTACCCTCAGTTTTGTCACTAATATACAGAGAATAAAGAAACAACCACAAAAATTTTGGTTAAAACTAATCACTCCTTAGATTTTTTCCCATTCTCCCCTAAAAGCATATTACTTCTTTAAAACAAATTGAACCATGCCAAAGCAAGCCAGAAATAGTATAGAATCATACACTAAATAACATCTTTTCCCTGTTTATGTCACCTCAGAATGGCCTCCTGTCACCATCCAACCTATTATGTTTCTCCTGATGGTCTCGATCACAGTACCCTATTAATTTTTTTCATTGCACTTAAAACAATTGCTAATTGTTTGCTTACTTGTTTATTGTCTATCTTCCCACTGAAATGAAAAGCAGAAAACCATGAATATTTTAATCACCAAAGAATAATCAGCTCCTGCTCAGATACCTGGCATTATAAAAGGTATTATTATTTATATTATATTATATAAATATTATTTAATTAATGCGAAAAAGTACATTTTTTTGTTTTTTTTGTGGTTTCTTTTAGTGAATGTGTTTTATAGTTTATTAAGAGTACCTGGGGAAAGTCCAATAGCAGCTAGATCACATCAGAGTTAAATAAGTTTATACCTTATTAATAACAGTATCATCTAAAAAATAGTTTTGTTCATTAGTCTGTTATATGGTTAATTATATTGATTGACTTTTGAATGATGAACTAGCTTTCCAATAACCTGCATAAACTGCCCTTAGTCATGAATTATTATCCTTTTTACATGTTGCTACATTCTCTTTGCTAACATTTTGTTGAAGATTTTTAGATCCCATGAGGGATACTGGTCTGCAGTTACTCATATTATGGCTTGTCTGGTAATGCTGGCCATTAAAATGAATTGGTAAGTGTCCCTCCTCTTCTATGTTTACACAGAATTGGTATTATTTCTTCCTTAAATAATCATCTCAAGGGATGCAGAAAAGTCATTTGAGAAAATTGAACACTGACTCATGATAAAAACTCAGCAAACTAGGAAAAAGAGGAAACTTCTTTATCTGAGAAAAAGTATTTACTGAAACCCTACAATTAATATACCTAATGATGAAAAATCAAATGTTTTCCACCCAAGGTCTGGTACAAGACAAGGACGTCCTCTCTCTCCATTCTATTCAACTTTGTATTGAAGGTCCCAACCAGTGCAATAAGAAATAAAAAGCACACAGACTGAAAAGGAACAAATAAAAAAACAGTCTATTCACAGAGAAAATTATGGTCTATATAGAAAGTTCCAAAACATCCACAAAAAAGCCACCAGAGTAAGTGAATTTAGCAAGGTAGTAGGATACAAGTCAACATATAAAAATCAACTGCATTTCTATACATAGCAATGGACAATTAGAAATTGAAATTTTAAAACAGTATCATTTACAATAGTACCAAAAATCATTAAATATTTAGGTATAAATCTAACATATGTGCAAGTCCTAAATGCTAAAACTACAAAACACTGTTGAATGAAATCAAAGAAGACCCAAGTAAATGATGAGATATACCACCTTAATGGATTACAAGACTCAATATTTTTAAGATGTTAATTTCCCCAAATTAAATCTACATACTTAGACACACATTCACGATTTTTTTGTAGAACTTGATGAGCTGATTCTAAAATTTGTATGCTAAGGCAAAGGAGCTATAAAATAACCTAAAACAATTTCAAAAATGAACAGTGGGAAGATCCATACCATTCGATTTCAAGATTTACTACAAAACTACCGTAATCAAAACAGTGTGGAATTGGGAAAAGAACAGATACATAGATAAATGGAAAAGAACAGAGTCTACATATATGGTAAACTGATTTTTCACAAAAGGTGTAAAAATCATTTTGGATTAAATCTGAGAGAAAAATACCTCCTTCACTATGGCACTAAATCAGAAGTTGCAAATACTGACTTTTTCGGCCCAAAGATTTTTTTTCTCTTTTTACAAAAGTGTCAAAGTGTTTTAAGGAAAAAAATTAACAGCAAATTTCGAAGGGGGGAAACAAAAGAAAATGGACATGATAATGGACAGGGAATGCCACCTAAAGAGTAATATAAAAGATATATGCTGGTTTTCAGTTTTTTACATTTCTAGGTTACTAAAGAGACAGAAGAGTTTGGAGTCATTCTGAAAACATAAAATAAACTGCATAAGATTTAGGATTTGCTGTCAACATTAAAATAAAGCATTTCTATCTACTTTCTGTATATAAGGAATTTTCTACAAGCTCTGAAAACAAAAAAATCAATTAAGTATGTGATGAATCATTATTCCTTGGTGATGAAAAGGAAGATTATGGGGGGCGGGAGGGAAGTATATCGTATGATAAAGTAAGGGAGCAGTAAAAAGTCAATGAGCTGTTGAGAATGAAAAACAGGCCAGGACAAAATACACCTGAGCAAATCAGAAGTTTATACCTGGTAGCACTTACTGTTCTTTTAATCGAGTGGCGGGGAGATGTTCCCTTTTCCCTCACCAAACCTGAACCTTCCACACCCAGGGGAACTTTAAGTGTTTGTAGGTGGGCAAAGAATGGCGCGGGTCCCTATTCCTGCGCTTTCTATGGTATCAAAGCGAAACTGAATTCCAGTTTTCAGGGACTGGAAAAGAAAGGGGGCGTGGCAGGGAAGAGAAGTGACTTGATGGAGCAAGAGAAGATGATTGGAAGATGATTTCATAGTGCGGGCGGTGGATGGAATTACAAGGACTGGGTGGGCGAGTTTACAAAGCTTGGAGTCAGGTAGTGTAGACAAATTAGTCACCCAGAAGGTACAAGGGTTGGGAAATTATGGAATCGGCACCAGCAGGAGGCAAAACGAAGAGGGAAGAGGTATGGGAATACAGGGTCAACGTGCCAAAGCCTCAGACCCGGACACCCGAGGAAACGTGATGACACGGCAGTGGGACCAGAGGGGGGACTGAGACAGCGGGGAGCATCTCCAGGAGCCAGGTGGGAGGCACACGGCCGTAAAGGGGGCGCACCCGTCTGAAGCAGAGCAAGAGGGCCCTCACTGAATCTAATTCCAGATTCCCAGTAAGCGTAGAGATGCAGGCGGGCAGGGAGGGCTCCGGGGTCCCGAGCGACAGACACCTCACTCACCTGGTTGGTGACCTGAAAACGAAACAGAACACAATTTATAGAAGCAGACGCTCTGAACTAGCCGCGGCAGCCCGCCTCCCTCGAGCCCTGCCCGCGGCCTCAGGCCGAGATCCGAGCCGCCCTCACCTCGGGATTGGCCTCCAGCGGGAGCCAGCGCTGACCCTCCATCGCCGCTCCGCCCGGCCCCTCTCCAAGCCTGACAGCCGCCGCCGTCACAGCCGCCGCCGCTTCCGCCCCCGCGCTTCTTGACCTGGGACCGTCTAACCCTCCGCCCCCACCCCGGGAGGGGGGCTGAAGAACGAAGAAAAGCTTGACAGCACTCTAGGGCCTTTCTTGCTCTCTGCAGAGCCACACTCAAGTCTTACAAATTAAGATACAATCGAAGAGGAGAAGAGAAGCCACCTCCCTACTGCACAAAGAAAAAGAATCTGAATCCACAGCCAGCTCCCCTCTCACTTGGACTGTTCCTATCCGAGCCAGGCGCTCGCGCGCTACGCATGCGCCATGCACGGGCCTGGGACCGCATGTTCACGCGTGCCCTGCCATTCCTGCAGCTTCATCTGGAGGCGCTAGGGGGAGCCCGAGAGGCGAGACGGGATTGCCACCCACACATCAGGACACATCAGGAGTACTGAAGGCCACGGATGCCCGGGAATCCTGTCCCAAAAGCTCATTTGTCACGGTGCAGAGGGGATATGTTGGCCTTTTCTGATGTTGCAGAGTCGGGGGGGAGAGGGGGAAAGGGTGCCCTCTATATACCTATTCAATTACGTCTGAAAAAAAATGTCAAGCACAGATTATGAATCAGACCCTGCACTCACCATAGAGTAGAAGAGGTGGACAGAAGAATGAAAAATCACAATGAAGTATGATACATATGTGATAGTGGTAGCATGAGGTGTAGAACTGCAGAGATGTGCAGCTCAAGGGGGAGGGTGTGTCCAGAAGCTTCCAGCAGAAGGTGTACAGCTGGAGTGAGCCCTTAAGACGTAGTAGACATTAGCCAGGCAGAGGAAGATGCTCTGCAGAAGGGAAAGTGTGCACCGTGGCTGTAGAAACCAGCAGATTGAAGCGCTGAGGCTAGAGGTGATGCTGGAGCGGTAAGAAGGGACAAGCCCATCAAGACATCCAGGCTGCATTCTGAAAACAGCAGGGAACCACGGTAGGATTTTATGCAGGATTTTCTTTTTCTTTTTTAAAAAATTTTATTTTATTTTATTATGTTATGTTAGTCACCATACAATACATCATTAGTTTTTGATGTAGTGTTTCATGATTCATTGTTTGCGTATAACACCCAGTGCTCCATGCAGTACGTGCCCTCTTTAATACCCATCACCAGGCTAACTCATCCCCTCACCCCTCTCCCCTCTAAAACCCTCAGTTTGTTTCTCAGAGGCCGTAGTCTCTCATGGTTCGTCTCCCCCTCCGATCTTCCCCCCTTCATGTTTCCCTTCCTTCTCCTAATGTCTTCCATGCTATTCCTTATGTTCCACAAAAAAGTGAAACCATATAATTGACTTTCTCTGCTTGACTTATTTCACTTAGCATAATCTCCTCCAGTCCCATCCATGTTGATGTAAAAGTTGGGTATTCATCCTTTCTGATGGCTGAGTAATATTCCATTGTATATCTGGACCACATCTTCTTTATCCATTCGTCTGTTGAAGGGCATCTCAGCTCTTTCCACAGTTTGGCTATTGCGGATATTGCTGCTATGAACATTGGGGTGCATATGGCTCTTCTTTTCACTACATCTGTGTCTTTGGGGTAAATACCCAGGAGTGCAATTGCTGGGTCATAGGGTAGCTCTATTTTTAATTTTTTGAGGCACCTCTACACTGTTTTCCAAAGTGGCTGTACGAACTTGCATTTCCACCAACAGTGTAAGAGGGTTCCCCTTTCTCCACAACCTCTCCAACATTTGTTGTTTCTTGCCTTGTCCATTTTTGCCATTCTAACTGGTATAAGGTGGTACCTCAATGTGGTTTTGATTTGAATTTCCCTGATGGCTAATGATGATGAACATTTTTTCACGTGTCTGTTAGCCATTTGTATGTCTTCTTTTGAGAAATGTCTGTTCATGTCTTCTGCCCATTTTTTGACTTGATTATTTGTTTTTTTGGGTGTTAAATTTGAGAAGTTCTTTATAGATCTTGGATACCAGCCCTTTATCTGTAGTGTCATTTGCAAATATCTTCTCCCATTCTGTGTGTTGCGTCTTTGTTTTGTTGACTGTTTCATCTCTCTCCTCCACGAGACTATAAATCCCATGAGGCCTGCAGGAGTGTCTTTTTAAATTCTTCACATTGTTCCCTAAAGCCTAGCCCAGTGTCTGATACATAGTAGATGCTCCATAAATACTTGAGGAACGAATAGAGTCATCAGATATGCTGAAACATAATTTGTCAATAATGTAGGATTATTTGTAAGAGTGAAATGATGAGAAAATTAAGGCAGTAACCATGGAGATGGAGAGGTAGGCACAGATTAAAGAGAAACTGTTTTAGGGAGGTATACCTTTGATGAGCAGGAATTGTCTGTTAACTCCAGAGATTTGACCTGGGATCCAGTGCATATTGCTACTCTGCACCCAGTAGAGGGCATTCTGGGAGAGGAGCATTTAGAAGTGAGAAAAAGATAATTTTATTATGCTGAGTTTGCCTTTCTTGAGGAACTTCCAACTCTCCCATTCATGTTCTTCTGGCCACTGTTCTTTGACCTCCGAGGAATTTCCAATCCTTTGACTCCTTTCTCTCCTTATCTATCTGATAGATTGCTGTTATACCTGCCCGAAAGTGACTTGGTAAATCTGAAATGTCCAGCTTATGATAAGCAGCCATAGTTGCATAATAGTTAGTTGTATGGCCAGGTTTTCAGTGGCATGGCAGGGGCTGCTTTTCAAATAACAGGCTGTCAGTGAATGGCCTTGCTCCAGAACCCTGAGGTTCTGCACTGTGATTCCTTTGTTAGGATTACCTAAGACTCCACATAGCATCCTTACAGACTATGGACTTCTCTAGTAACGTTGGATCTGCTGAGACATAGGGCCAAACAGCAAGCAGCTTGCATTTCAGCATGGACTTGCTGCAGATCACTATCTTGCTCAGGGACCCACTCAAACTGGCAGCCATCCATATTGCCCAATAAATGTGTTGCAGCTATATTTTCAAGTGTGGCATATGCTGCTAGCGAAAAGCCAAAGAGGCCCAAGTCCTCTGCCTCTTCTCTATTAATAGGAATTGCAAGATGAAGTAAGTTATTCTTCACCTTAGAGAGGCTGTCCCAGTATGCCCCCAAACTTTCAGACTCATAAAAATATTATATAGTAGACCCCCAGTCTTTGTAGGGTTTAACTTCCACACTTTGGCATGAATGTACCTGTCATCATATTGAAGACAGTATTTTTCAAACTTGAATATACAAACATCTGGGGAATCTGAAATGCAGATATTTATTCAGTAAGTCTGAGATGGAGCTCAAGAGTCTGCATTATTGGCCCCCATTTTTTTTAACCCTCCTTTCACCTCCCTCTTTCACCTTATAACTTTGAAGTTTTTTCCCACTAAGGGGCAAAGCAGTGTTGATCCTTGTTTTTCATGGATTCTGCATTTTGAATTTGCCTACTTGCTGACATTATTTGTAACCCCTAAATTAATACCCATGTCACTTCCACAGTCATTTGCAGACATGCGCAGTGGCAAAAAAACTTGAGTTCCCAGCTAAGGTTGAGCAGGCAATATTCTTCCTTTTTGTTTTAGGTCTCGCACTAGAAACAAATGTCCTCTTTGCAATTTTTAATGCCGCTTTTTTTTTTTTTTTGCATTTTTCCACTTTTTATTGATGAGTTCAGAGTACATATGGCCCCAAGCATTATGCAGACGTTCTGTCCAGTGTTCCCAAACACAAGAAGGCTGTGATGTGCCTTACACAGAAAATACATGTGTCAGATAAGTTCCTTCAAGCATGAGTTATGGTATTGTTGGCCAGAAGTTTAATGTTAATGACTCAACAGTATGTATTAAGTGAGATGTCTCTAAACAGAAACACATTACACAAGGTTATGTATTGATCCGTTAATGAAAATGTGATCAGAGGCTCACAGGAAACGAACCTGTATTTCCCCTGGGGACAATGGTTCTGTATTTAGTAATGCAGTATTCATGGTGACTTTATAGACCATAACTACCACAAATAATGAGAATCAACTGTGTATTTCCCCACTCCTGGACACTGAGTTCAGCCATGTAACTTGTTCTGTTCAATAAAATAGGGCAGAAATAATGGTGTGCCTGTTCCAAGTCTAGACCTTAACAAGCTTGTGTTTCTGCTTGCTGTCTTGCACTTCTACCATCGCCTTGAGAAGAATGTGCTCGGGCTAGCTTGCTGGTCCCAGAAACACAGTAAAAGACACCTGGAGCACAGCAGAACCACCTCAGCTGAGCCCAGACTAGACTGGCCAACACATTGCTAACCCTTGAGAATTGTAAGGTAAATAAATGTTTGCTTGTAGTATGACTTTGGGTATTTGTGCGTGTTGGGGAGGGGGTCGTTAGTTTGTTTTTACATAGCAACAGCTAATTTCTGTACCTGCCAAAACTTCAAATAATCAAATTAAAAGGAATAGCCAGGTAATTGATACACTTGCCTCAAATTCTAAAAGGCAAATAAAAATGTGAAGTTTTACCTCCAGAAATTTTAAAAATGTATATGGTAATGCAACTTTAATTTGTTAATGAACTGTTTAACTATGTTAACTAAGTGAGATATTATTTTAGCAATGAAGCGGTGATATATATTCAGATTTGATTCAGGCTTTACTCTTAATAGAAACTTTGGCATTTCTCATATATTCGTTGGATCCTTACCACAGTCAAGCAGGCAGGTGAGATAGGGACATCGCCACATTACAAACACGGTAGCTATGGCTTGGAGAGTGTAAATTGTTTCCCAAGGCTGCACAAGTGGCAGAATGGGACTTCAACCTAGATTTCCAGCAGCAGATCCAAAATTCTTTTCAAAGCAGGAAGGAGGCAGGAGCAGTGAAGATGTTGACAAGCCAGGGAGGGTACTCAGAAGATAAGCTGGGGATTGAAGGAAGCTAAAAAGTATTGTTGCAACAGAAGGTGCCAGAATTCCTCTGAACTGTCTATTCAGAAAAATTTCACACCATTGATGAACCACTTAGGTTGGAGATTGAGCCCCAAGGACATCCGAGTCAGCAGGAGGACAGGCAACAGAAATTCATTATTACACCTCTCTTCATGAGAGAAGAGTATGAGGAGGGTTTGAGAAGGTGGGAAAGGAAGAAGGAGAGAGAAGATGAAAAGGAGGGGATAAAAAAAAAAAGGAGGTAAGTGAGGAGCTTGAGAGAGGAGACTATCAGAGAAAAATCCTAGAACTTAGTGGATTTCAGGATATCTCATTTTATTTTAATTGATGATGAATGAGTTTAGAC